CATTTCCACGTGCATATGAAACGGCCTTACAATAAGCATGCTCCCTTTGCCGCAGCACGTGCTCTTCATTGCCGGCCCAATCATATTCATTTATGCATCATGTGACATAATTACAACAATAGAACATTTCGGTTCAATCATTTCCCAACATGTTTTTGCTTTACTTCAGCCTTGCTGCTTCGTTAAGTTGTCTTATTATGTACTTTTACTTTTGTGATTGTTATATGTTAGGATAAATTCTAGACGCTTTGTCTTTCATATTCTAGTGTTGTTTCCATTCATGCAAGGAAATTATGGCAAGGGGTACACACACCAGAGTAATAAAAAAGAAATGCACTATTCTTGAAGTGTATTTGGTTTTATGTTGGAAACTATTTGCTTTTAAGAAAATCATGATTTGAATATAGTTTTAAATGTGAAACCAAACACAGAAAATCATTTGATTTAGGTTGGGTGCAGGTTCAATAATGTCTTGTGCTGTTTCATATGGTGGGATTTCCTTACCTGTGGAGAGCGTTAGATAGGTTAAGGAGAAAAATGTAAAAAGCTTTATTTAGGGGGGGAAAAAATACTCCACTTGAAACTTGACATGTAAAAATTATAAAAGCTAAACCCTGGTCCCATTCTTACCTAATATAATTATCATTTATGCTATCACTAATTTCATTGGGTTTTAGAAAGTCACTTGATTGTGAAGCAAGTGATCAGTACAACAAATGTTTTATGCACGCAAAAAAGTACAGCAAATGCAGTACACCATGTAACATTATTATCGGTGAAAAAGGGGCATTGTACATGAATACAATAATTATATATATATATATAAAAGAAAGAGTTGGGGTCAATTGGGTCATCATGGCCTTGCGTACAATATTATGCAAGGTCATGGGATCAAATATATCCATAAGCATTCTTTGAGTGACCTTGGTGAGTTTATGTTATAAAAAAAAAAATTATAAGGGAGATAAGTCTAACTAGTCCAAGACTAATTTGATTGAACGGAAATATTTGGTTCAATTGAATCAAGAGAAAATAAGTGTGGTTATTACACCAGTCTTTAAAATATTATCTTTTTTAATATTAATTAGACTTTGATCTTTAGTTTATGGTCAATATGGTGCTCATCCCCGGCAAGTGAGATTAGTGCTGCAAGTGAAGTGCATGTACTACATAACATGGGTCGTCATCAACACAGACGATCACGTGGCAGTTGTACTGAAAAGGGGGAGAGAGCAATAATTTCTGAGATAGATGCCCTCCAAATTAAAGTTTCCAATTATTCATGAAACGATCATTCATCATTGTATTTGGGAATGTCCAAGTTTTGATGAGAATGGATGCACAATACCCAGCTAGTTGAGGCCCACGCTGGCTCTTGCACGTGAAGTTAAAGGACCGAAGCAACAATCCTTGTCTCCATTAGTTCAGGGGATTCACTGAAAAGATTGGACTGTGAGAGATCGACAAATCTAGCACTCATCACGGAGATTGTATTTGCTTCTGAGGGGGAGGGTGTTTAACTATTTATTTTGGTCTAACTCATCCAATAGTTATTATATTTTTTTATCACGTTTTCCTTATTAAATATTAAAATATTTTATTTTTAAAGTGTGTATATTTAATAAGATTAAAATTAAAAATTTGTAGAATTTTTTGATGGAATTAATAAAATTTAGTGTTTTCTTTAATTATAATAAAAATGTTGAAAGTGGTTTATAAATAAAATAGATGAAATATATTGCAGCCAAATACATCATCTTATATGCACCCTTTATTTTTAAATATAAGCAAAACTTTCATATAATTTCTTATTTCTTTGTAAGCAAAACAACATTTTTCAAAAGAACATGTATGATATCTTTTTTTAATTGTCTTTTAGAAAAATATAGTATCATTAAATTGGAAAAATAAGGATTAATTACAAGGATATTTTAATACAAATTTTTCAATGTTAGACATATTATTAGGATTAACCAATTCTTAAATTATGTGATTTAATTAAAATTTGGTTATTATTTAAAAACAGAGGAGTAATTTTTATGCTGTCAAAAAGAAATACCTTCTGATTCACATAAACCTTGTATTGTAGCGAGTTTCTGGCTTGAAGAAATTAAGAAACATCTACTCAAGACTGAAACTTTGCATTCTAACATATTATTGTTAAACACACACGTTGACCCTCCAAATTTATCACTTTTACAATTATACCAACTTAATTCATAAATTCAAATTAGATATTAATTTGATTGAACTCGCAAGTTAACTCTCTGAATTTATCTCTTTCACTTTTTAACTTACAAATCATATCCACTCACTTATAAACTTAGATTGAATACAAGCTCATTAAACTCATCGATATTTTATCAAGTTAAGCGAGTTAATTATATACTGTATAGAACTCATTTCATAAAAGTGATAGGACCCAATTTAAAAAAATAAAATACAACAAGAAAAAACTAATATTAAAAAAAGAAAATAAGAAATATCAAGAATAAGTTTCCTTGATTTGAAATATTCATGTTGAGTATAATAATCTATCAATGTAGATAAATTTAATTTCAATTATTTGTATTTAAAATATATTTAAATCAAATTATTATCATATTTTATATTTTAATTATTTAATCATATGCATTTAGTAGTTACTCTTTACATTAAAAAATATAAGACATATTTAATTAAATTTTACCCTAATAAAGTAGTTACTTATTTTTAAATTAACATTATCTTTTCATATATATTCTTATTTAATAGGGTGTTTCATTTTAAAATAAAGTAATTTGTTCATTAGAGACATTTAAAAAAATAATGATTATATTTTAAAATACTAAAAATATTATATTTTTAAAAATTCAATATTTTAAAAAATACTTTACATTTTTTCGTAGACAAAATACTTATTAATAGTAATAAATTTTTACAAGTTTCTCATTCAAATTTATACCCGTCATAAATTTACTTAAACTCACAAAGCAGCATATGGATGTAGTTAAGATTTTTTATCTTGTTAGTCAATTCATGCTATTTTTATTGTTTTTACATGAAATGTTCCCAAACACAAAAGAAAGAATGATAGTAAATGTTCTATAAAAGATAAAATATATTTTTAATTCTCTAACTTTATATAAAATTTATATTTGATCATTTAATTCTATAAAATATCTTTTTAATTTTTTTTATCCTTAATATCATTAATTTAAATAATTATTTTTATATTTATTATTATTATTTTAAAAAAATTAAACTTCATATGTTAATATTTGATAATGGTTTGTCGATATTTAAAAAGTCAATGTAAAAATTTATTAGAATAAAACTAAATTAAGATATTAAAAAGATACTTTATAAAATTAAGGACTTAAATAAAATATTGTATAAAATTAAAAAATTAAATATATATTTTAATAAAAAAACAGTGAGAATCAAATACAATTTAAAGCCATTCTACTTACAAATGCACTTACAAATAGATGAACCTTCAATTATGTTAAATCCTCTCTGTCATGCTTTGAAAAAAAAAAAAAAACAGTTAGAAGTAGAGTGAAGGATAATTTTTTTTTTTTTTAAAAAACACTTTATGACCACTCAAACCCAGAACAAAGGTCTTTTCTTTTTCCTTTTTACTTTTTGTCCCGATATAAGGTTTTTTTTTCCCCTTTTCCGACCACAACTAAGCTGATATCATGGATTTCGTCCTTTCTCGATTACTTTTGAAATGTGTACGTATTTTCAAAATGTAATATGCATCAGATTTTGATCTGTATTTATTTGATGAATACTAAATAGGTGCACATCGTTTTCAACAATGTATATCACAGAATACGTAATCAGAAAATTACAATAAGCTAATTATTTTCGAATGTACATTGACCTTAATTATGCTCAAAATTTTTTTACTTCATTTAATAACATGTTTACCTGATTCAATTTTCTCAGCATTCAATAAATTCGCAATATTTACAGTCAGTAATATCAAATTCCTTTTCCAAATATATGTTTTTGTAAAAATAAAAAAAAAAAATTACATCGCAGCGCAACATTAACTCTCCTATTTAAACCAAAATAAATAATTTCAAAGAAAATAATAATAATTCAAAAGAAATGATGAAAAATAAAAAGAAATAATTCTAAAGAGGAGAATTACATAAAGTTAATTTCTCACAATAATAATACTCCCTGTGATTTGATTCTAATCCTCTTTATAAGGTAGACTGATAAGAAGAAGAGTTCTTGCAGACAAAATGACAAATAACTCTTAAAAAAAATAATTAATTCAAATTAAATTTTTAAAATTTAAAAATTAATTAATTCACAACCTTTTAGAAATTTTAAAATAATTAAAAAATGAATAATTTATTTTTTATTAAAATTTAAAATATAAATTATAAATTCATGATAAAGTTATGAAACTGAAAACCAAACTTAAAATTCTTCATTTAAATTAATTAATCCCTTAAAACGTCTCTATCATTCTCCCATTCTTTTATCCCTAATGGATTGGCTCCCACCGCAAAAAACATCTCATCCATTCACATTTATATATACACATATATATAAAATTTATTAGACAAGTTTTAACAGGTATTATATCTGAAATAGCCCAACTTTTAATAGAAACAAAATTTAAAACTCATTAATTTTTTCAATAGAAACAAAATTTAAAACTAATTAATATTTTTGAAAAAACTAATGAGTTTAGACTTCGTAAAGTAAGTTATTAATAAGATGCAGGTATCTTATTCTGATATCACATTAGATATTTGAAAATGCGGTAAAAGCTGGGAAACCATAAAAAAATAATCCATGTCTGTCCAGACAACACCTTACTGCGTGGATCACAGTTCTCAAGGCAACTAGAACTCACACGGCAAATTCCAAGCATTATTGGAAGCAAATCTGGCACTTCGTACACGCCAAAAATTAAAAATGCTATCCTTATCAGTTGTCGCTGACGGAAATGAGGAAAGGCGGCAAGAAGGAAAGAGAGATCACCAAACACGTTCATCAAATACCATAATATGATTCCATTAAAACGCAGAGATTTCCAGTTCAGATTAGCTAAAATTTTACACAACACAACCAAGCACAAAACAAAGCAGCCATGACCTGAGATCATCACACACGGCAAACCCTAGGAAAACTAGAGTTAGCCAGAGAGGTGATTAATCAAGCCATAACCACTTTATTCTACCACTCCAAATCACCATACCACACCTCTTAACATACGCTTATTCTATATTAGTTATTACGCCTAAAGGACCCATCTCTGCTTCTAGCTTCTTCTTCTTTCCCCTCACTTGCAGTTGCAGGGGTTGCAAGTGCAGTTGTCTCCACACTTGCAGCCATTCTCAGCGCCTTCGCCCACCTCGGCTCCCTCGTAGTGAGTCTTCACCGGTGCGACTCCCATGACCAGAGTCTCCGTGGTTGTCTGCTCAGTGTAGCTCAAATCTGGGTACATCTTGCAACTGTGACAAAATTTCAAAAACACAAAAATTAATCGTCTAAAGCATGGTGAGGGTATGAAAACAAATGTCATCTAAACAGGACCTAGATGTCGAGATTACACAGGACTAGGGGAAAAAAATTGATGATGATTTCGTGAAACGAGAAGTAAAAAGAGCCTTTGAATTATTTCAAAATGGAGATCAACCGAAGAATTCTGCACTTTCTGCTAATTTCTATCTTTGTCTCAAAGCCACCGAGGAAGGCGAAAGAAATATGTGAATCGGGAAGTTAAAAGCATGGGAAAAGGGTTATGGGGGCATTTTTGGAATCTCTGGGTTGCTAGTTGCTACGTGATGTATTGAGGGGTAAGAAAAAGTATTGAGTTTTTGTCTTCTTTCGGCAATCATCGGTTCGTAATCCTCTCTGGTTTCTAACCTTTTCTATATAATTCGTAGGTGATGACGTGAGATCTATGAGAAATTAAACTAACACGAAAAGGTAAACGAAAGATAGAGATTACAAGAAGGAACAAAAATGTTCATGAAATCAAAGTTCCCCCGACTTAAAAGCCGATCAAAATAACGACATAAATTTTCTGAGGAAACAAACAGATCAACGACCGGTGACCGCAAACTTACCCGCCACATCCACTGCCGCACTTGCAGCCGCTTCCGCATCCACAGTTTCCGCCACAGCAAGACATTTTCAGACGATAGAAAACTCAAAAGGATGAAGGCCACAGACTCTGATATAATGACAACACACACTGATCAGACGTATGTGATCGAAGGGGGGAACCCTTTTTATAATGGAGAAGAGAGAGCAGAAGGAACATCAACCGTACACGTGTCATAAAAAGAAAGGCTTTCTATCCTTGCCGATGGAGCCAAAGCTTGTACTGATCCATTTGTCTACGCATGCGTCATTTTCATTACTCGCCTTTTTATGGCGAATACTACAAGGGGATTTTCTGGCGTCTTCGATACCCCGCCGTCCTGCGTTTGAATAGAAGTTTCACACCGTCGATGCGATCATGGGGAATCAACGGTTGAGATTGGAACTCATCGGCGGTTATAAACTGTGGGAAATTTGACACCTCTGAGATCTAACGGCACGATTGGGAAGTTTCACGACATTTGGCACCCATGCCGTGAAAACTCGCAACGCGTGTCAATCATTATCCCCGCTGAGCAATGGATTTTTAGTTATATTTTTAAATTTCTTTTAAATATCTCTGTCTCTGTGTGTGTGTGTGAAATGTATAATTGTTATTCTTATTTAGAATTAGATAAACGGTAATATTTTTTTAAAAAAATATTTTGTATATTGAAAAATCATGTTGGGGCTACAATGAAAAATAACTGTGGAGTTCATGATTAAAATAATAATAGATATAAAATTTATAGTAAAAATGATAGGTATGTTGCATGGTATTTATTGATTGAATTATATGTATGTGTGTACGTACGTATATACCTACCTATAAGATAATAAATTGGAAATTAAATACAAGGGACAATGACAATAAAATGTTTTGAAAATATATAAATAATAATTTAATTTCTCAAAATGTCATAATTTTCTTGAGGTTCCTAAAAATTTTTCTATCATTAATATATATATATATATATTACTACATAGCCCTTACTAAAAATAAATGATTAATAAGTTTTGTTTAAATATTTACAATTTTATTTCTTATATTCATAACAATACAATAGCAAATAAGAAATTTAACATATAAAATTATGATTTGCTATTGTATTATTACAAATATAAGAAGAAAAGTTGTAAATATTTTAACAAAACTTGTGAATCATTTATTTTTAACAAAAATAATTTAATAATTTATATAAATTCATTAATGACAGAAAAGTTCAAAGGGATCTTAGAAAAATTATGACATTTTGAGAAATTAAATTATCATTTTTATATTTCAGAAAAATTTTATTATTATTTTTCCTAAACATAAAGCTAAACAACAAGATATACAATAGAACATTTTATTGTTTGAATTTTAATTTATATATGTGAGAATAATATGTCTAGAATAATATATTCTTTATCTATGCAACGGTTTAGTTGAAAAAGGTCTATCCATACTTTTAATTATAATTGTGACTTTTAAATACTATTATCACATAAATTTCATAGTATATGATTCATTATATTACATATTTCATTTTTCTCATAGTGATGCATGAGCCAACAAATTCTGGAAGACAATAAAATAATTTTATTTTGTAGGATATGTTAATAAACTAAGTGTTTATAATTTTTAATATATATAAAATAACACATTGCGAATTTAATTTACATAGAGAAAATAATTGAAATATCTAATAATATTTGTTGGAAGGTAAGTTTTCTTTTTCAATTAATGATAGGGTAGAACTTACTAAAAAATGTATATTTTCACCCAATTTCAAAATTTGGCCTCACATTAATTGAAGAAAGGACACAGGTGTAGGTGTGTCATTCTTGAATTTAGATGAAAGAAACATATTTTAAAATAAATTTAATATGTAATTTAAACCCTAAATTATAAGTTTAGAGGTGATTTGAATCTTAAATACTTAAAAAATATATTCTGAATTTTAAATAATTAAAGTTAGGATAATTTTTGCCCAACATTACATTTCAACAAACGTTCATTAATTTTTTTAAAAATTAAGACTTAATGTGCAATTTTTACCAAATTTTAACAATTAAAGTTGGTAATTTTTCCTTCAATATTAAATTTTAAAAAATTTCTATTAGTTTTTTAAAAATTGAGACCTATAGTTTAGGATTCACATTGAATATTAATATTTTGAAATAAAATAAATTATTATTTATATTTTTATAATACATGGGCAAAACAAATTTTAAAAACAAAATAAATTATTGTTCGCATTTTAATTTATATTAAGTAACCTGTTGTGGGTATATCAAAATAAATTATTTCAAAATTATTTTATATTTTTATTTTATGTTTATCTTTTAAATGGTAAGAAATCTTTACAGGTTTTTATAACCATATCTTGAACATGATTTTCTTTTTTGTTTTTTTTTTCTTTTTTTGAATAACACTGAGATACATTAATCTACTAGGTAAAAGACATGCACTCTATGGGAGAAGTAAAAAGTAACAAAGAGAAAACAAAAAATCCACTACCTATCCTCTTCATTATGTTCTACCTCCAAATTCTAACATGAATGGTAATTAAAGAGGTAAAAATTAATATATAAAGATTGAGATAATCTAGCTAAGAAGTGCACATTCATATTGCAATTCCTATACATATAGCTTGCTCGACAAGGTTCCTGAAAAGGTAATTGACATTACAACCCTAAATAATTAAATTAATGTCTTCAAAACAATCGAAAAAGGACTTCCATGCTGACTAGATTTTGCTTCCAACACAAGCTAGGGTCTTGTATAATACCAATTAATTCTACCACAATTGGGGGGAACAACGGTTAATTTGAAGCTAAAATTACATATCTAGTAGTTGTGACTATCTCGCAAATTACCCTATGTTTGATTGAGGAGTAAAAATTTTAAAATTTCTCCTCCCCTTCCACCTTACCAAATAAGAGGAGGGGCTTGTCAGGGAAGGTGAAGGGGAGGGAAAATTTTCCCCTCCACTCCAAAACCTTCTCCCCCAAATTGATAAATTTTTAGAGACTTTTCTATCATTAATAAATTTATATAAATTATCAAATTACCTTATTAAAAATAAATAATTTATAATTTTTTTTCTTATATTTACAACTTTTTTTCTTATACAATATCAAATCACAATTTTATATATTAAATTTTTGATTTACTGTTGCATTGTTGCGAATATAAAAAGAAAAATTATAAATATAAAAAGAAAAGTTGTGAAGCATTTATTTTTAACAAGGATAATTTGATAATTTATATAAATTTATTAATAATATAAAAGTCTTTAAACACTTCAAGAAAGTTATGACATTTTGAATGACTAAATTATCATTTATATATTGTAGAGAAATTTTATTATCATCTTTTCAACACGTTATTGACCACATTCTTGATATACGTGAAGTAACAAATTAATTATTAATATATAAGTATGCTGCAACTTGAAAACTTACTAAAAACATTGCAATTATGTAACTTCAAATATAATCATATAAGGTTGATGAATTTATTTTTCATTGCATAACTCCTAATCCTCAACTTCTCTTAGTAGTTGTTTTTATATATAATTGATAAATAGTACTATAGTATTTGTTATTCTGCTCGCTTAATTTAAAATCATTATTCATATTTATTTTTACTTTTAGCTATAATTATGATTTATAAATATTATTGTGAGATAAATTATAGCGTATGATTTATTCTAGTGCTTGTTTTATTTTTCTCAAGGTGATACATGAACCAAAAAATTCTTAAAAAGAATAAGCTAATTTTATTTTTCATGATATGCTAAATTTGAAAAAATATTTATAATTTTAGTATGCAAGAGGGCAATTCATTGCACAATAAGAATGGTTGCTTAGAAAATTTACACAGAGCAAATACTATAGTGACAAATCTAATAATATTTATTGGAGAATGGATTTTCTTCTTCAATTATTCATTGATCCAATTTCAAGGTTTCCCTTCATATCAATTAAAGGAAGAGCACATATGTAAGTGATGCCTTCTTAAATCCATCTCAGGAGGAACATATTTTAAAATAAAATAAATTATTGTTTATATCTTCAATATAATTTGGTAAAACAAATTTTAAAATAAAATAAATTTTTATTTGAATTTAAATTCAAACAAAGTAACATTTTACCACTACACAAAAATAAATTATTTAAAAAAGTTTATTTTTTAATTTATGTTTACCCTTCAAATGTTAAAAAATTCTTATAAATACTCAAAAAATATATCAAACAAGTTTTTCCAATACCTCGACATAAGTAAAAAAATATCACCATGCATTGCCTAGGTCAAAATCTAGTTATATATATAATAGAAGAATAACAATCAATCTTCTAAGCTTAACACATATTCCCTCCATTTAAAAATGTAAGGCATTTTTTTAAGAGTTGAATGTTCAAAAATGCAAGACATTTTTAGTCTCTCGAAGTATAATCATTACCTTTTTTTTTCAAAAGTACTCCTATTGATAGTGACTTTATATTTATTATAGAGTGTTTAATAGGGGTAAATATAAAAAGATAGGATTAATTTAAAATTAGATAATTACTTTATTGATGGGTAAGATTCAGTTAAAAAATACTTTATATTTTTAAACGGATGGAGTATATATTTTTTAAAATACTGCAATTCTAGGCTATCTATATTCTCATTAATTTCCAAAAATATTTTTAAAAAATAATATTAACATTATCTTAAAAACTACTTTTCTATATTTTGGAATATTCTCTACCATGATCTCAACAATAACTTCTCAACTAATTCACAATTTTAAATTTTAGTTTTAAAAATATTTAAAAAAAATGTAGAGTATCATAACTTCCTCAATTTATTTTATTAGTATAATATATTTTATAATTCTAATAACTACCCCTTAATTCCTATTAGTTTAAATATTTTAAATTTTAAATTTATAAAATTTAGATTTAAATGTAAAATTTTTGAATCATGAATAACTTCCCCATCTTCTTTGTTCCCTAATATCATAACTCCTTTGTTTTGGGGTTTCAAAATTTTTGATGTATCATATTTTAAATTTATTTACATTTAAATCATTTTAGTTAATTAGTATAACATAATTTGTCATTCTAATAATTACCCCTTAATTATTCTTAATTTAAATATGGTAATTTT